CACCACACTTACAGACTCAGAGGTTCAGAAAGGCAAATTTGTTTCAAAGACTTTGCAGGGCAGAGTAGTTTTAGAAAAGAGTCTTTTGGTGCCCTGTGTGCCCAGGTGAGCCTCAGGATCCATTTTCCCATGTTCAGCCAGCAAGGTGCCTAGAGTGTATCAAGCCATGGTCCCTGGTACAGCGCACACTGGCCGCACAACTTAATGGTGGTGCTCGTTTATCAGGTTGCAGAATGCTAGGATTATGAGATCATAGAGGCCTCTGCTGAGTTTCGAAGGGAAGCCCAGGAGACCCAGGCAGCGGTGCTGCAAGTCAGTACCTACAACCAGCCCCCAACAGCAGTGCAAGGACTTGTGAGACTGAAGCCAAAGGTGCAGTGGAAGTCCCAGAAGACAGAGGCGACAGCACATGTGGTGCAGAAACTGTAGGCAGCATGCAAAACTCACCTAACAGAGAGGCCCAGAGGTAGGGATGAGCAGGTCTGTAGAGGCAAGGCCCTCCAAGTCTTTCAAAGCCAACATCCTATAGTGTGCCCCAGTGCCAGACACGGAGCATTAGGATTTACTGCTTGCTTTGCTGGGGTTTCATTTTGTTTCAGGCCAAATCATTCCTCACTATTTTCTTATTCCTACTATTTTGGGTATAGAAACATACCCTGTGCTTGCCCCACCATTGAATTGTGGAGGTTTGCAGCCTTTCTTTGGATTTTTACAAGGGCTCACAACTGACTTTTCCTTGAGTTTCAAAGGGGACTTTGGACTTGGACTTCTGAGCAAAGCTGGGACAGTGAAGACCGTGGAAATAGTTGGGGGTGGACTTAACACATTTTGCACTATGAGATGGACATGAAATTTTTGGGGCCAGGGTGGAATGCTATAGTTTGGATGTTAAATGTCTCCCAAAATCTCATGTGTTAAAGGCTCAGTTCCCAGGAGGAGCTACTGGGGTGTGGTGGAACTTTGGAGGTGGGGCCTAGGAGGAGGTCCTCAGGGAGCTCGAGATATACTCTTGTAGGGAGTTGTGGGATCCAGCCCCTTCTTCTTCCTTTTAGCTTTCTGGTCACAAGGTGAGTGGTTTTGATCCACCATGTGCTTCTGTCCTGTTATGCGGCCTTACCACAGACTCAAAGTAATAAAACCAACCTATTATGGACTGGAACCTTCAAGGTAACCAACATATAGAGAGACAAGAGGTTATCTCAGCTATTTAGTTATAGTATTGAGAAACTGACTAACATAGCTAGTTTGGGAATATGAATTAGTGACTGGGTATTGGCAATAGGGGAGGTAAGAGTGGATTTGCATCAGTAAATCAACACTCTTATGGAAACAAAGGATGATGGCAGGTTGAACTGTGATAGTATTGGCAGAAGGAGAGGGAATAAGAAGAATCTAAGAGATGTTAGAAAGTAAAATTCATGGGATCTTGTGGTGGATTGGCTGTGGTGCAAAGTAGACAGTGTTAAGACTGATGTGCAAGGACCTGTCCTGTGTGCCTAGATAGAATGTGGTGCCATTTCTGGAGTAGAGGATGACAAAGAGCACTTGACTCTGAGGAATATCATGAGTTCACTTTGGAACATGGTGAGTTTGAGGTCGCTTCTGCATATCCAAAGGGATGTTCAGTAGACACTTCATGCTACCAGTCTGCAGTGTGAGATGAGGTCAAATTGGAGCATTTTCAGACTCTGCACCCAGATGATTACTGGATGGTTGAACACGAGATCTTCCAGGGAAAACAAATTAGGACAAGAAGACCATGTGGTCTACCCTGCTGTGAGGTGGTCTGAAATGCATTGGCTGTGTGGGAACATGTGGGAAGCCGGCATTGCAGGTAGAGTCCACTGCCATAGAAATGCAGCTCCATTTCCTGCCTTTGTCTCTTTCCCCAAACCCATCATGATATGAATTTTGGAAGCCAATTGCTTTTTGTTTTTTTTAAATTCAGTTTTACTTTTTTTTTGTTAAGGTTTTTTCTTGATATCCTTTTTTTTTTTTTTAGTTTGTTCTTTTTAGTTATACATGACAGTAGAATGTATTTGATATATTATACACACATGGAGTCTAACTTGCCATTCTTGTGGTTGTAGATGATGTGGAGTTACACTGGTTGTGTATTCATAGATGAACATAAGAAAGTTATGTCAAATTCATACCACCATCTTTCATATTTCCATCCCCTCTCTTCCCTTCATTCCCCTTTGTCTAATCCAATGATCTTCTACTCTTTATTTTTTTAAGAAACAAGTGGTTCTCCATAATTTACATATTAAAGTTCAATGCCCTCTGATATCTGTTTTTCACCAATCATATTCCTTTTTATTTCCTTTCTTAGAACCTGGGAATGGGTAACATTTAGCTTGTTTTATCACTAAATACCCTTGATTTTCCACAATGGTTATTCTCTAGTTTCTTCAATAAGAAATTCCATCCTCTCCCGTTCTTGTAGAAGTCTGTGTTGCCATAATCTTTCAGCATCTAGCTCAAAGGTTCCTAAAACATGTCCAGAAGCCCAAATGCTTATGTAATTGGTCAAAGTGTAAGCCCAGCCATTGAGCTAAAGAAGCTCTCAGGTTATTTACACATGTGTCTAGGTTTGTAAAAATGATATCTTAGGTCTCAGTGGTACCTTAAACTTAAAATGACAAGATGCAATCCTCTTTTTATTTTTATATTCCACATCTTCAACTGGGGCAGGTGTCCAGTGCATTTCTGTGGAATGTATTGATGATTTATCCCCATAAAAAAATTAGGGCATCTTGTGAATCTCTTATTATTTCTTGAATACTTTTATTTCATGATTATTCTTCCTTGTCATTTCTTTCCATTCCTAGTTCCTAAAGATTCTAGGTCATTTGTATGTGCCAAACATGTGTAGCTTGCAATCTCTGTTAAATCTCTATGCTCAAATGGAAAACATCAGCACTCAGGAGAAGAGATACTTTGAAACCACTTTTCAGAAGGGTGATGTCTGAGGTTTTCTGAGGAGTAGTTTCATTGTTCACTATTTTCCAACTTGTCTGGGTGAAACAGAAAGCACAGGAACACAGTAAGTTATAGAATACTCTTACACAGATTTGTTACTTGAAGATTGGCAGTGAAGGAAAACAAAAACCTAGGATTCATTATAAACCCACCACTCAGGCTCAGGAAAGTGGATGAAATTTCAACTGTGTAGGCGCCACATGGACCACAGCTAAAAGACCCAAGGAAGCATCCCTCCCTGGGTCTTCTATCCTGGGGCAACTGCTAGGCTAAAGGGTTGATGGATATCCTCTTTCCAGTGGGCACTGAAACCAACCCAAGTATTCTGGTCAGCCCCTCCCTATCTCAGTATGTTGCATTACTGCACATTTCCCAGTTCTTCTTGAGAACTGCAAGTGAGAAGAAGGAGAGAATGAGGTGTGGGACTAGGGATATCTGGAGAACTGACCTGCATCTCCCTTTTGCTTTGGCCCAGACATTGCCTCCTGAGCAAAGAGCACAGTAGGTTGGTGGGAATGCATCAGACAGGGGTAGTCTATTTCCATGTATGACCATGTAACTAGCTTTGATCCACCCTGTCACCATGGTGTCAGAATAGCAGATGTATCCTCCAAGGAGCATCTGCTACCTGGAGACATGTTTGTCACAAGTAGGAGGAAATAAGCAAGTGGTACTTGCAAGCTCATTTGATGGGAGGAAGCCAGGAGCATCGCCAAACATCCCACAATGCACAGGACAGTCCCTCACAACAAGATTATCTGGCCCCCAATTTTATAGTGCTGAGACTGAGGAACCCTGGTTTAGAAAGGCCAAACAATCCATTTTTTCTCAACCTGAGTTATGGAGTGGCCAAGCTTTCCTGACTTATGCTGACATGGCAACATGTTTTCTTATAAACTTATCTCCCTTATGCACTTGTTTATTTACTTTCATCATTTGTGTTTGCTTACTTTGCCTGTAAAGTAAACCAATACAAAATACAAAGCAAATCTGGAGCTCGATGATTGGATGAGCACCAAGAGGGAATTAAAAATCACCAATGCAATTGTTTTCTTGGTTCTTTTCATTTACACTAGCTTTCTGTTTTTAGCGGTCATGGAAGCCATATCCCTATGAATCTTTTTGTGTTAGAGGCGTAAGTGGTGGGCCCTGTTATTTTAGACTAGATGTTTCTTTTTCTGAGGGCTTCATATTTTAAGCCTGTGATAATAAGAGAGTATTCCTTTACTTTAAAAAATGTTTTTGTTTCTTTCCCCTTAGTTTTTAGATTGCTTAGCAGACCATTTCATTTCCTGTGAAGCATGGCTGGCAACTATAGCTTTTTCTTATACCTTAGACTTTCAACTGTTTCAAGCTGGCATGCAATAATATAAGTAGAATGAAATGTATTAAGTGCTTGTTGATGTCTACCGGGAAATGTGGTGTAATCTGTAGCTACTTATTTCTTTTTTTGTGTCAGAACAAGATGTTTGTCTTATTGAACACTGGTCAGGGAGCACAGGCCTGTAGTTTCCAAAGAATAACGAGAATCTCATAAATATGGAGTTAAATTATTGGTAACTGATATTCCTGGTCCTGAATGATACATTCTCTGTCCCTCGATTTAATCCACACTGTGATTTGGTTGTGCTTTTGGTTTATATTCATCAGGGGCAATTGCCAAATGGTGATAAACTAAATAATGTCAGGAATAAGGGTAGCCAGAGATGTTCTTAACATTGTATACAACTGGGTTTAGGGAACTCCAGAATATAAGGTGATGATGTAAGACACTTAGCCGTGAAAGTTTCATGATAGAATGATAACATTTAAGTAGTTAAACTTTATCAGTGAGTGACACACTCTATCTTTAGAAATAGCAATAAGGGGCTGGGGTTGTAGCTCAGTGGTAGAGCGCTTGCCTAGCATGTGCAAGGCACTGGGTTCGATCCTCAGCAGCACATAAAAAATAAACAAATGAAATAAAGGCATTCTGTCCATCTACAACTACAATATATATATATATATATATAAAAAGAAATAGCAAGAATACAAGATGCAGTCAACGTGAAGGTTTTATGTGACTTAACGGCTGGTGTGGATTGCCGACATCAAGAGACCTTTCAAGAAATTGATTTCTATCTTGTCTTTGATAACTCAGTGGAACCGTAGAGTTCAGATGAGGTATTTGGCCATCTGAGGTTTGTGTCATCAGTGTGAATAATCATCCCTGAAAGTTTGTACATCCTCTGGCAGTAGCAGTAGCCATTGCAAACTTTCTGACACTCAGACGACCGTTTATCTGCCTGTCTTTCCCACTCTTTAGCACAGAACCCCCTCTTGGTTATCATCATGTGCTTAGCATTCCCTAATGCAGTCGTGGGAACATAGAAAACATTAAGATATTTTTTAAAATAGAAGTTGAGGTGACTCGAGAGCAAATGGGATCAGTTCTGCAGATTTTATTAAATCTAGAGACTCCAAAGTCATGAGATTTTATGGGAAATGTTTTGAGAAGCAGCCGAGATGACAGGCCTCCTGGGGGCCTTGCGTCATGTTAGTCTGCCCACCATGAAACTCTGTCTGACAAGCGTGGCTCAGCCGCTATTCCTCGCAGTCCAGGAACCATCCCTGTCCCATGCCCAGACCCTCTGGCCTACCGTGGTCTCTGGTGACGTCATTTATGTGCACTCTGTTATCTGCACTGCAGTATCTGGGCCCTTCAGAGCCTGCCTTCCATGGTCCCAGGGGCCTGAGGGCGTTTGTTCCCTTCCTCCCTTGGTGTGAGCTTTCTGCGGGTGTCACTTGTCTTACAAGGGAAGTCAGGTTCTGCGGCAAGCATCCAACAGTTCTCTGTTCAGCTGGCCGCACTGCGTCTTCTTCTCAGGAAGATTTCTGACAGGAATGTGCTCCAAGGGCATGTCCATTTTGAAGTAAATTAAAGTGGATTCTAGTTGGTTTTTTTTTTTTTTTGTCTTAATCACTATAATAAAAAATTACTATTAATATATAAAACATGTGTGTATGTGTGTGTGTGTGTGTATGTGTGTGTGTGTATAGACCTAAGGGTATATTAGTTTGGAGAACTTGAGATCTAAAGAACCCTTTGGTCCATTTGTGTTTTAAAGTTTTTAAGAAACTTGAAGTCAAGAGAGTCTGGCTAAATGCAGTCTGTTGCATTTTTCAGCCATATGTGTCTCTAAGGAGCTCTGTCTTCCTGATTTCATCTGTGATTTTCATCTTATGTTAGTTCCAACCCCATAGATTAGGAAAATAATTATGTTATTGGGGTTGATGTCCGTGTTTCCTAGCTGTAATTATACCCTTATAATCTTGTTTGTTTTGAAAAGACTGTTGCATATTGCAGATTCACATGGAGCTTATTTTCCCACAGCACCTGTGGTTTTTATTCTTTGGACTCTGATTTCATGTTTATGGGGATGTGCGGTCATGGATGTAATGCAGGAACACAGGGCTATGCAGGTGTTTCCCTTGGCTGATAGATAATGCTTTAGTTCTTCCAAAGAAACATAGATGTTAACTGGCCATCACCCATAACATAAAACACTTCTTTATTATATTGGGAAAGTGCCTAGAGATATTCTTCTGAGAGTAGGGAAATTTCTGGAACTTCCTGCAGAAAAACAAAAATACAAAAAAAAAAAATAACAACTTACATAGAAGAGAAGAATGGAGAACAGCATGTAGGTCATGTTTCGAAATAACTAATGGGTTTCTTGAGATGAGATACAACAACACATTTGAAAAATACAGCCTCCTTTGGGTATTAATCAGGATGTAGGATCCAGTAGGCAGGGTCTTAATCTCAAAGAAAAACAGGGCTGCTCCTAGCATGGTACCGCATATCAAAAGAACATCAGTGAGTCTGACCCAGGGGCCTCTTGTGTGGTTTGGGGTAAGCCCTGAGGACTTTGGAACGTCTCTATCTCCTCAGGCAAAGTCTAAACAAATTAACTATTTATGGCTGTAGATATGATTCTGAACCTCTGAAAAATACCCAATGTCTCTATCCAGTGGTTTTAGTATTCGACCCCTCATGAGCTTTTCATGCCCCCTGATGCTACAAGAGATCCAATATATAACTTATTTATAATTTATCACTTGAACAGGAAGTAGCATGGTGACTGTAGGTTGCAATAGAAACTTGATACAATTCCTATCCCACCTGAAGCAAATACAAGTATACTCATTCTTGGGGAGTGGAGTGGGGAAGAAAGTTAAACTTCTCTTGTCTGTATGCATGCCCCTCAAAAAAAAAAAAAAGGTTTGGTTGAATTAACTTGAGACAGAATGTTTCTGGATCAGCTCAGTGTTTACATATGGCTTTGTCATCCATGACATGGAACATCTTGATGAAAAGTAAATTATTGAGCTGCTTCAGTCAGTCACGGTTTCCAAGTGAGTCTGCATGTTTGTCATCAAATGGCTACATGTAGATATACAGCTCTTGCCAAAACACATTGCTTTTTGGTGGACATTTATGTATTGTTTTGGAGAGATTGAACAGCACTGCATTCTTTGGCACTGTCATTTGATTCCTTGGTCTCAGTGCCTTGAGAGTGCAGGTTCCTAAATTCACATGGAAGGAAAGCCAGGTAGTCCACCCCTTTCCTGAGCACAGGAGGTTCTACATCTTGTGACTTATCTGCAAGCAGTTTAAAACTTGTCCCTTTCCTTGGTGTTTGGCCATAAGCAGTACGGGAAGTGAATTTCTGGAGGAGAATTTGAATACATTGCCATTGGTCCCTGTGAATAAATTGATATCCTGGAGGGATGTAGGATCCCAAGATGCTACTTTTCTCATAGGTCATAATTTGCTCATTAGAATGTGGCTACATTCTAATAGCCACATTCTACATAATTCCTTGTCCATAAAAACAGCATTTCTGAAGGGGAGTCATGAAAGCTATAAGACACACATGCTTCCCTCAGCTAAAGTGCTTTGCAGAAGTGCAAGTAGACATATTTCCAAATAAGGCAGTTCTGATCTTATTTTTGTGTTGCAGTGTGTTTAGTTACTGTGGCTGCGTAACAAATCACCGTCAAGCATAGTGCCTTGAGAAACACACACTGTCTTATGATCTCTTCTGGGCTCTGTGGGGCAGGAATTTGGGGAGGTCTTGGTGGAATGATTCTGGGGCCCGTCAATGAACAGGGGTGAAATATCTAAAGTACCAGAGCTGGAACAGCTCAGTGGGACCAGCGATTCTTATTCTCTTTCCTCCAACAGCTTCGCTTTCCCCCTGCCTCCCTCCATGGGGTCTCAGTCCTCTCCATGTGGGCTAGTTTGGACTTCCACCCAGAATGGCAGCCCCAGGGTATTTGATCTGCCTACACAGCAGACAAGGTTTGCCAGAGTGGTTTCCATCATTGGCCAAGTGGAAGCAGCATTGGCTTCTGTGGTCTAACCTCAGAGGTCATGCAGTGTCGGTCCTGAGTATTTTATTGGTTGCTAAACACTGAATATTTGTGTCTCTTCCAATTCGTGCATCAATGTTATAACCCCCAATGTGCTGGTTGAGCAGGTGGTACTTTGGAGTGGTTATGATTGGGTGAAGTGCTGAGGGTAGAATTGCCGCAACAGGATTAGTGTTCTTTTCAAATGACAAAGAGACAAAAAAGCTCATGTCTCTTTCTCTGCCAGGTAAAGATAAAGCATAAAGGTAGCCCTCTCTAAATCAGGACTAAACCAGGAGGAGAGCCCTCATGAGAACCTGTCTACGCTGGTGCTCTGATCTCTGACTACAACCCTCCAGAACTTTGAGAAATAAATGGCTGTCATTTAAGTCACCCATTTAAGTCAGGCATTTTGTTACAGCCAGGTATGGTTTGGATCTGGAAAGTCCCCAGAAGCTCATGTGTTGGAAGCAAGATGCAGAGATGGGGCTTGAAAGCAACAATTAGTGCCCTAACCTTATCAGTAGATTAATCCATTTGCTGGAATTAATCTTTGATAGCTGCAGGACTGCTGAAGATGGGACCTAGTTGGAGGAAGTAGGTCACTGGGAGCATGTCCATGGGCGATATCTGTCCCTAGCCCCTTCCTCTGTTGCTCTCTGCTTCTTAACGGCCATGAACTGAGTAGCTTTACTCCACCATGCCTTTCTGCCATGATGTTCTGCCTCACATTGGTCCCAGAGCCATGGATTTGGCAGACCATGGACTAAGACCTCTGAAAGTATTGGAAACTTTTCCTCCTTTAAGTTGTTCTTGTTGAGTATTTTGATGACAGTGATGAAGAGCTGACACACACAGCTTAGGATGTTGGTTAAAAGTGAGTCAAAGCTTGCGTAGATTCAAGGGGAGGAGATTAAGGCTCCATCTCCTCCTAGGGGCATGGCAAGGGCTAGAGGGTTTGGGGAAAAGGGGCAGTGTGTGGTCATCTTTGGAAAAGATGATCTGCCACATGTGCTTTTATAATTACTGAAAAAGAGTTTTAGTCTTCAAATAGGTATTGCAGTATTTAAATCCTTATTTCCTCTGTGTCAGGCAGGTTCCCAGGCCAAGCCTGCTTGGAAGAGAATATCAAAGGAAATGTGAAAATAAGCTCTAAGTCAAGGAGTGATGGAAGTGCTGGAACAGGAGGGGGTGTGATAACCCTGAAGAATCTCACCAGCTCTTCTACAGTGAGGCCTCCTGGCTGCTCAGGGTCTCTCTCAGTTGTCCAGGTGGGCAGCATCTTGGCCTAAAGATTGTCATAGCAAGGCTTATGGGTGCAGCTGTACATTGAGATGCAAGCCAGGAAGGAGATTCAGCAGACAGGGTGTGGGAATCCTGAGGTCCCCAGCTCAGCTCGGCAGCTGAGCAGAGGTGTCACTACTGATCCAGGATTTAGAGCTATGCCAACCACTAGTCATGGTTGAATAGTTCCAGCTCCCAGGGATAGATGACACTAGCTAGTGAATAGAGCTCACATGTAACCAAGGTCACACTTGAATACGCATTATATTTGAAAAGTCCTCAGAAGTCACTTTGGAGGTTGGTTCAATACATGGATCCAGTCTACCTTGAAGACCACTGAGTTTTATATTAGGCATATCAAATATTGTTTTTTGTTTTTTTGTTTTGATACGAAGGATTAAACCCAGAGGTGCTTAACCACTGAGCCACAGCCCAGCCCTCTTTAATATTTTGAGTCAGGATCTTGCTGAGTTGCCTAGGGCCTCACTAAGTTGCTGAGGCTAACCTTGAACTCATGATCCTCCTGCTTCAGCCTCCCGAGCCACTAGGATTACAGGCTTGTAACACTGTGCCCTGCTCACATGTCATTTTTAATGATCAGATCAGCAACCCCTTTATCAGAATATTTATTAACCAGTTTTATTATATAATGTTTACAAATTAACGTATTTCACATTGACCCTTTAGCATGAGCATGAGGATGCATGAGACCCAACTGAAATGACTAGCAGCAAGTTCCTCCTCTCATACCATCCTCCCCATTGGCTAGACCTGCCCCAGTCCCGGCCCTCTTTTGCTGACCTGCCTGAGCCCTCTGGTGTCCTTTCCAATGTGTCCTGCATGCTGTGCTTGAAACAGAAAACAGTTGTTCAGGGTCCACCAGAGCCTGAGGAATGGAGGTAAAATGTGCCAATTTTTGACAACTTTTAGAGCCCTTTTGTCCTTGTTATGGAAGTTTCTTCCAGCATTGAAATGACAGACTCAACAGCCTACCCCATGGACCTGGAAGACCCTCAGACTTTGGTGTTATAAAGTCACCTCATATTGAGTTGAAATTCCACTCCTGGGCTGGGGGTGTCTCAGTCTTGCCTAGCATGTGCAAGGACCCATGTTCAATTCCTAGCTCTGCCAAAGGGGGAAAAAAGGAATTCCACTCTTATCTTAGACTAAAGTTGCATATACCTTGCGTGTATTTTTAAATGCTTGGGTATTTCTCAGAATTTTGGGGACAAAGTCCTTATTGTGCCTTATAAGTCTCCCATGGTCTTCCTTTGGCCTACATTTTGTTAGTGTTTTCTACGTGTCCTGGCTCGTAAGCTTTCTTGAGCTCTTGAACACATCATGTTCCGTCTAACGTTCTTCCCACACCTAAATTCCTCTGTGGCCTTCAGCTTACCTCTTAATCAGCAAGGGCAACCTTCCCTGATTTCCAGCACTGGGTAGGGCTCCCTCTCTTCCTTCCCTCTTTCCTCCTTTGGTCCTCACTTCTGCTTTCACAGAACCACATAGCTTCTCTATGAAGTTATGAATTATTTATTATATATTATTTATAATTACTTATAACTGTATATTGTTTATTATATCCAGTTATATACTATTATAAAGTATGCATTTATTACTGGGATAATTTATAATTATTTATAACTGTATATTATTTATTATATCCAGTTATATACTATTATAAAGTATGCATTTATTACTGGGATAATTTGGCTAATTTCTCCATTCCCCAGTCAGCTGGAGATTTTACCTTATCAGGAACTCTGTCTGACTTTGATCCTAAGAGTCTCCCCACTACTGGCCTCATGGATAATATTAAAGAGCTATTTCTTAATGCCCAATAAGTAAATGAATGGAGGGGTCATCTTCCTACTACTCTTGTTTGGGTATTAGATGGTACCTGAGTATGTGTTAAGACATAATGAGATGTGCTGGGTTAGAAGTCCACCCCGGGATATCCTGAAGAGATTTGTGACAAGGTTTACGCTTGTGATCTTCAACCCTCGGTTAAATTCAGATAACTCTTTTTCTTTTTTGTTTTTTTCTTTTCTTTTTGGTGGTACTAAGGATTGAACCCAGGGCCTCACACATGCTAGGCAAGCACTCTACCACTGAACTACATCCCCAGCCCCAAATTTGGATTATTCTTATTCTGACTCTGGGACCAGACATACCAATGCAGTCCCAGGGGTCCACGTGTGCAGGAGTAGCTGGTTGGAGCACAGGAACCACCAGCAGCAGCTCAGCTCAACTTGCCTGATGCCACTGGGTCTTGTGGTTCATGTATTCTGTGGCAGTTTCAGTGGACCCAGGTGCTGTTTCTTAACCTAAAGAAGTGAACTTCCTGGTCTCTTGGTTTTCTGGGGGCAGAGGAGAGGGTAGAATGATCATTAGAGGATCCTGTTTTTGTCTTGGATAATTTGATTGGAAAATCCAGACTGAAAATTAGCTCCAGGAAGAATGTTCAGTGCCTTGAGGAAAGAATTTCTTGGGAAATACAGCAACTCATCTGTTGCTAGTACAACCTGGTTTCGTGGTATTATTAGCTTAGGAGTAGAAGAGATTCTGGTTGGAATCCCTTTCAGCTATTCTGCTATAGGGTAATGAAAAGTATCAAATTTGTTTATTTAAAAATCTTATATGATTTATGTGGAGAGAGAGAGAGAGAGAGAGAGAGAGAGAGAGAGAGAGAGAGAGAGGTTTAATTTCATTTAGTTACATATAGATTTCCAGTTTTCCCAGCACCATTTGTTGAATAGGCTGTCTTTTCTCCAATGAATGCTTTTGGTGCCTTTGTCTAGTATGACATAACTGTATTTATGTGGGTTTGTCTCTGTGTCTTCCATTTTGTACCATTGGTCTATGTTTCTATTTTGGTGCCAAGACCATGCCATTTTTGTTATTATTGCTCTACAGTATAGTTTAAGGTCTGGTACTATGATGCTTCCTGCTTCACTCTTCTTGCTAAGGATTGCCAGCAGGCTGGTTAAATTTACAATTACTGCCCCCCATTCTCCTGAGTTTAAAGTGTGCATGGGTCAACAGTGCATTTGAGATGAAGGGCTGCTGTGTGTGTGACCACCTCCAACACATCCTGTTTAGAAAGAGACATTTATAATGTGCATTGAATAAAAGGAAATATACACTCAGAAAATTGTGCTGGGATCAGGCCATGAGCCTGAATGTAACATAGATACTCATTGCCCATGCCTTTAGGGAGAGATGAGACCAAGTAGGTGACACATAAGAAAAACAAGGTGCAGAAATAATGAAACAGAAGGATAGTATTTTTTTTACAGAGATAAGAGGAGCCACCTGCTCACACAGATTTGTCCTGTTCAGACACCTGCACGATATTTTGTAAAGCAAAGAGAATAAAATGGTTAAAATGAAAAATGAATCTTCAAAAATACCAATTGTCATTGTTAGCCAACTCACCATACTATAACTGTGATAGCATGAGCTCGATTTTCAGTCTCATTTTTCTTCAGGGTGTTACTAATGGAGGAGAACATGATTGTATGCCAAATATATGCTGATAGGAAGAGGACAATTTTGGCTCACTTTTCATCCATCAAAAAGGCTCAGATACCACTAACTAACTGCATCAATTTGCTAAGCCAGGCCTAACAAATCCTGCAGAGGTGTTAAAACTGATTAAGTTTTATGCCGGAATTGTATCATATTAAATATTTCTTTTCAGATACATTGGTAGGTGTTATACATGAGCACACATTCTATTAAATCTAAATCAAATTCTTATTCAAGGCTAGTTGCACAAATGTGATCTTGCTTTTAATTGTGAAATGCCAATGAGTGGCTATTCCTGGAGGAAGCTTCCCTTTGGCTTATTTTAAGGTGGATGATTTAAAAATGATTAATTTAGGAATCAAGAAAATATGTGAAACTACAAGGCCTGGAGCCAGTCTCCTTAGTCAGATCCCAATAAGCTCTTAAAAATATGTGCTGTCATTGCAAAGCTCATTTTTCCAAGCTGGACTCCAATATTTGGCTAAGAACTTTCTTTTCTTTCCATGTTTGTTCTACATAGAATCTGGGGGGTATTAAGATTGATGAGGGAATCAGAGCTTGAGGTTTGGGAGCCAGCATTAGCACTTTTGGGCGATGACAAATCATGCCTTACCTCCCTCCCTCTTCTCCCTTCTCTTTTTCTTTCTCTCCCCCTCTGCTACTCTCCTCCTTCCCTTTCTTTTCCAAAGAATGAAGCCATGGGTTCAAAGGGAAGCACATGAAGTATTCCCCATGGTGACCACTTGGTAGAAGGTGAAAAACAAGGCTGTTCCCTGTGGCAGTTTACCAGGTGGCTCTGGTGGAGAAGCATCCCTGACTAGTCCTGCTCAACACCCCATCTCCAACCTATGTTCCAAAAACCTATTTAGAATTTGACCCAAAGTGAGAACAATGAAGAATTGTCTGCAGCCTAGCTATCAAGTACCATTGGGTGTCTTGACTTTACTGGGCAAAGTAACTGGTTCTCACAGCTCCCCATTTAAACTCACACATAGAAGTTTCATGTACTGTTAAATCAACTCATGGCTGCAAGCCTTCTTGGTTAAAAACACTTTAAAAAATTCACTGGCCACTGGCTTTTATGAAGAGAGCTGTCTGAAGAACTTGAATAAAATGGGACTATTTAAAAATTTCTTTTTAGTCATTGATCTTGTTAATACTTGTACCTGAGAAGAGACTGCCAAGACAGATGTGTCATGGGCCCTTGGGAGCCGTCTCACGTTCGATCTGCTTCTCTCCACTATCACTGCCTCTGCCAAGTGCTCATCACCACCAGGAGAAGGGCTTCAGAGGTCTTTCTGGTGTTTTTATTCTGAATCTCACTGGTCCATCCAGCACCCAGCAGCCAACATCATCTTCAGAACAAAAATCTGTCATTCTGCTGGAAAGCCATCCAATGACTTCCTAATCCATATGGACTAATGCCAAACTCTTTATTATTCTTTTTGGTCCTGTG